GCGCCTGAGGTGACCTGAAGAGAAGCCCCCCCGCCCCGTTTCCCCCTCAAGGGGGGCCGCAGCCTCCCTTCCCCGCGCGCGCGCCCCGTGAAAACCGTTAGAAGGGAAACTCCCTCAAGGGAAACGGGGGGGAGGGGCGGCCAGAGAGGGGCTCGGCTGCGCCTGCGCAGGAGGCTCAGGGCGTGAGGCTCTCGGCCCTGCTTCCTGAGGTGACCTGAAGAGAAGCCCCCCCGCCCCGTTTCCCCCTCAAGGGGGGCCGCAGCCTCCCTTCCCCGCGCGCGCGCCCCGTGAAAACCGTTAGAAGGGAAACTCCCTCAAGGGAAACGGGGGGGAGGGGCGGCCAGAGAGGGGCTCGGCTGCGCCTGCGCAGGAGGCTCAGGGCGTGAGGCTCTCGGCCCTGCTTTTGGGTTTCCCCTTTCCCCCCCCCCCCCCTCCCCCCGCAGCGGTCTTTGGAGGGGAAAAAAAATCCCTGGTCCTGACGGCGGCGGTGGCGACGAGGCTCCTGAACTGCTTCCTGGTGCAGAGCAGCTTCGTTCCTGACGAGTACTGGCAGTCCCTGGAAGTGGCCCACCGGATGGTGTTCGGATATCCTTCCCCCCCCCACCCCCAGTCAGCATCCTTCTTGAAGCGGGGTGTCCAGAACTGGATGCAGTATTCAAGGGGAGGCCTAACCGGTGCCCAAATTATGGGGGAGGTAGTATGTACTTGGCAGGGTTTTTGCAGCCTAGCCTTCTGTTGGCGCAGAGACCACCATGTCCTGCTGGTGTGCTGAATGCTTTCCTTAATGCTTTCTCCAAGTATGGGCATTTGACCTGGGAATGGGCAGAAGGCCTGCGAAGCTACCTCTACCCACTGCTGTTTGCGAGCATCTATAAAGCCCTGCAGTTGCTCCAGGAGGATCGTGTTCAGCTCTTGGTGAGTGGCCCGTTCCTGGGTTGTCCTGTGAGCGCCAGAAAGTTGTCTGGCCCTCCATTCTGCTGGCTTCTCTGCTGACCGCTTGGCCCAAAGAGACACAAAGAGCGTTGCTCACGTTGGAATCTGCAGAAGGCAGGCAGCTGCTGCTTTGTCGCTGTGTGGGGCGGCGGGGGGGGAATTCTGTGCTCACAGTCCTGCTTCTGCTAAGGAAAGGGCCCCCACTGTACACCCAGGAGGAAGTGGCTCTTCTTCCACCTCTGCTCCCTAGCCCTCTAAGTAGCCAGCAGAATTTGAGGGGGCAGCAGGTAGCCCGAGGGCCAGTCCGAAAGGCATTGGGAAGGGGAGAGAAGGACCTCCTCACGCCGGAGGCAAAGTACAAACCATCAGGGCTTTGACGAGCAAAACTAACTACGTTGGCAGAGGTTCGGGCACGCACACACACAGCCCCACATACGCAACCCGTATCGATCATCACCATTTTTGACCCAAGCGAGGCAGGACTTCCTCGGGGCAAAGGCTCAAGGCTAACCCATGCCTGCTGCCCCTCATGTCTTGGTTTAATGACATCAAGGGGGAAAGCAAGTGATGAAAATCAGTGGCTAATTCTGTGTCTTTTTTGATAGTGGAAATATTTAATGGCTTGGGTCTTGTGGACAGGGCTCACATTAGTGCTCCCCCATATGCTATATTGTGACAGCCTGGGGCCACGTTTTGCCAAATGTGGAGGAGGCAAAGTACAACCCAGAGGGAGGGGTGGGGATGGGTAACACCTAAGGTAATTCTGGTTGCTCTTCCGCCACCAGCGATGGGCCTGCTTTGGTAGTTTCTCCTTGCCAAGTCAGTGAGGAGTTTCTCCCTACCACATTGCACCCTTCCCTCCCTGCAATAGATCTGGCTTCCTAGAGTGGTACAGGCCCTTCTGGCAGCGCTGGCCGATGTGAAGCTGTACTCCCTGGTGAAGCGGATGGAGAATGCGGAGACTGCCAAGTGGGTGGTGAGTCCCTGCCCGCCCCCCTTCTCTCTGAGGGTCTCCCTGCTTGGGACCAGGACCTTTTGGCTGGGGAGGAGCAGCTCCTGGGTGGGGTGGGGTCAGATGGGGGGAGGAGCTGGGGAGCCTCCTCCTCTTGGCTTTGATGTCCAGCTTGTGGACCTCGCCTTGACCGTGGCGCACCTGCTGTGACCCTCCCTTCTTCCTCCCAGCCCACCTCTGCTCTTCTTCCGAATTGATTTCAGTACTTCTGCCAGCTGAGTTCTTGGTTCACCTGGTACTGCTGCACCAGAACTCTCAGTAACACCATGGAAACGGTGCTCAGCACCCTTGCCCTTTCCTACTATCCCATGGAGGGTGTGAAGACAGGGAGCAGGTGAGGAGCTTTGCATCAGGGCAGATCCTTCCTCCCTTGTAGTTGGGCGATGCAGAGTCGCGAGCCTGGGGAAGTGGCCGGCCCTTCGGACAACATTTCCGCTCAGGGGTTGCCAGGCTTTCTCCTGCTCCCTCCCCCCCACCATCAAGCTCCACCGGCCACTTGGTTCTTTGAAGCCCCTCTGGGCAGCCCAGGAGGCCCCCCTCTCTTTCTCTCTCTCTCTCACCTTGAGAGGCTGGGCAGGTGCCTGTAGACTCCCAGCAAAAGTGAGGCAGAACCAGTTGGTAGAATTTCTCAGAAGGGCCAGGGTGGGTTTGCTGTTCACCGCCAGGATTGGGCAGTGGGTTTTGTGATGCCAGACAGCTTGTCAAAGCCTCAGCACCCTGCAAGGCACCACAGCCCATTGCCTGCCCACTTGCTTTAAAGCATTTCTGTCCTTTTCTCCCAACTCAGAGCAGCTCATATAAATCATACATAGGAAGGCACACATCCTGTGGCCTATTTAACTGGGAGCAAGCTGCAGGCAGCACAGAGGGGCTCTGCTCTAAGGAAGATTTTGCTCAAGCTGTGCTGAGCTTTGTGGTCCTGAGCACCCTTGCCTCTTTTCTCCAGCCTTGGCTATTTGACCCTGGTGGCCCTGGCCTTCATCATCCGCCCAACAGCTGCCATCCCCTGGGCCCCCCTGCTGCTCTGGCACTTCTGGAAAGAGCCCCAGAAACAGCACCTCGTCCTGCGCAGGTACCTCCTCATCGGGTAAGTGCCTTTCGGGGAAACGCTTCTCAGCCCTGCCCCCCCCCCCCGGCAGGTTGTTCTCAGGGCCCAGGGTAAGAGCCTTGAAAAAGAACCGGGGCGGCCTCTGGCACAGCACTCTCTGTGCCCCACTAGGAAGGGACTGTGTTCCCAGGAAAGCCTGTGGCTCCTGCCACCAGCCACGGCAGTCAGGGAGAGAGGCCCACTGGGCCAGTTGCTGGCAGCCGGGGAGGGGGTGGCGGATGGGCTGCTCTGGCTTTGGGGTCACATGGACTGTTGAAAATGTGCAGATTGGTGCTGGGAGGAAGCCCGATCCCGCTTCTGGGGGGGGGGAAGCATTCCAGGTGGGAGGAAGTCCCCCTCCCCATGTCCCATGAAGGGCCCTCTCTTCTGTTTCAACAGACTGCTCACCTTGGGCTGCTCTGCTCTCATTGACCGGGTGTTTTATGGCAAGGTGAGGTTCTTCTCTCGGGGTTCTCAGATCTGTGTGTGTCCCAACCAGATTCAGAATACTCTGACCCTGGCCAGAGCTTCAAGCGGTGAAGGAACTCCTTGCTACTTGATATTCTGGGCCACCTGCACCTTTCCTAGGGGAGAGGGGCAGCTTATTTGTGCCAGTATTTGTACCTTTTCAGCCTGTTCCCGTTATTGGTTAACATTAACATCGCAAAAACGTACAACGTAAAACGTTTCTTCCTGAGGCAGTTTGTTCCTGGATGAGTGCCTGGACAACAATCCTCTGATAGGGGATTATACACCATCATCAGTATAATGTTGCCCAGTGTTGTCTTTGTTGGGAGGGCCAGCTAGGGAGCCCCAGAAGGTGCCCGTGCGAGTGACCTTTTGGCGCAGGGCAGGGGAAAAGCCGTTTAACCTTGTCTGGTTGTAAAAACCTGCAGCCATCCTAGATGAGCAGCAGCTCCCCCCTTGTCTTGCCCCCCCCCTTGTTCTTCCGTCCCAGCCACCCCTCCCCAACTCGGAACCCCCTGCCAGGCCCAGGGTGGGCTCCACCACCGAGCAGTGTGGAAAGAGCTGACTGTGCAGATGGAAGCGTTTCCTTGACATGCCTGCCTGCCTGCCTTGGAAGAGGGGCTGGCAAGGGGAGGGACAGAGAGAGCGCCCTGGTTCTGCTGTACAGCCCAGCTTCTTGGTTTTCCTCTTCCTGCAGTGGACGGTGGTCCAGCTGAACTTTGCAAAGTTCAATGTGCTGCAGAATGTGGCCACCTTCTATGGATCCCACCCGTGGCACTGGTATTGGACCCAGGGGTGGCCAGTGGTCCTCGGCCCCCACCTCCCCTTCTTCGTTCACGGCTGCTTCCAAGCATCAAGGCGGCACAGCTTGCTCTTGGCTGTCGTATTTTGGACTGTGACAGCATATAGGTATGTACATCTTCCCCGTGCCTGTCTCTTGGCTGGTTAGAGTTGATTGGCTTCTCTCTTGCACTTATATGCCGTTTTTCCACTTGTGCATTTCATGTGGTTTCCTTATCATGTAAAGCAACCGTTTGCCAATCTCTTTAATACAATGGGGAAGGGGAAGGGGAAGCAAGCACATGGTAATCCCGTTCAGGGACCCCTCCTTGCAGACATTTCCACCACTGATGGACTGACCCTGTGGAGCAGCGGCTGTGAAGAGGAGCCTGGTGGCAGCTCTAGAGTTCGAAAATAATAGGTTACAGATCACAATTACTTTTGGTAACTCCTTATTACTAGGATGGAGCATCTTATTTGTTTAGAAAAGATCAGAGGCTGTAACTTGTTCTTTTCTCAGTAAGAAGATCAGACCGGAGGAGGAGGGAATTGGAACCCTTTTGCTCCGAGGGTGGGCCATGGATGCCATTCCCAGCCCTAGCAGCAGTAGGATTGTGTCCTGGGGGGGGTGCAGTCCAAGGAAAGGAAGTGGCCAATTAAAGTTTAACGTTCTGCATTGGCTTTTGTTATGGTTGGAGCTGCTCTCATGGTGAGATATCAGAGGAAATGAGAGAATTTTTGCTTGCTGTAGGAGTGATGATAGGGGATACTTTGCAAAGAATGTAGGGGAAACTGCTTTGTAAAAATGGTTGATACTCAGAGTAAAGGTACTCTTAAGAATCGTGTAATGATGTGCTCTGAACAACTGGCCCCTGTCTCCTGCGTGCCGGGATGTTGCCTCTGTGGAAGGAGGCAGCTCCATCTGCTGTGCAGGCATTGCTGGAAGATCTGTAGCCCCAGAGGCTGTGCAAAGGAGCAGACTTTTGAGGCAGTGACGTGGGAAGGGCAGTTCCCTTCCCCCCCCCCCCCCGGGTGCACCTCTAGCAATGGCAGATCATGAGGACTGGGTGTGGTGTTGGCCCTCTCTTGGTGGAGGCCGGGTGTGCTGGACTTTTCTCTAGGACACGGAGGATTCCTCAGCGGTGACTCCCTCCCTCCTCTCTGGTTGCAGCATGCTGAGCCACAAGGAATTCCGGTTCATCTACCCAGTCCTGCCAATATGCATGGTGGTCTGTGGTAAGTGTTGGGACCTTTCAGGGTCTTGTGAGACGTGGGTCACTCAAGGCCTTTGCCTTCACAGCGAGATCCCATGTGGTCCAGAGTAAAAGGAAGAGCTCTCTGTCCTTGTGGCAAAAGGTGATTTCTCTGCATGGAAGGAACAGAAAACTTTGGTAAGAGACAAGAGGCAGACAACTTGGGGGATTTTACAGAATGGCTTGGTTTGGGGTGAAAACACATTTTAGAAGTATGATGGAATACATCTGAAAAATACCTGCCCTCAAATGAAACTGGGAAGAAGGACTATTAATGCTTTCCTAGGAAAGTAGGCGCTGTGCTTGACTTTCTCCCCACCGTAGGGAACAGCCTGGGAAGCCTTGGAAATCTGAAGGCAATCCTCTCTAACCTGTGTAACTCGTGTAATATGCAGACTGCTCGCAGTTGCTTGAGAAAGGTGTCAGGAAGGTGCTGAAGCTACCTGACTTTCTGCTGTTTTCCTGTGCCCTTCCCCATTTCTTTCCGCAGGGCATTCACTCAGCCAACTGAAGAGGTGGCGGAGGGCTGCCGTCTCCTTCCTGCTGGTCTCCAACACGGTGCTGGCTCTCTACACAGGCTTGGTCCACCAGCGAGGAGCCCTGGATGTCATGGGCCACCTGCGTGGGCTCTGCAGCCCGCCTGCCCCCCGAGAAGGGCCCTCCGTCTTGATGCTGATGCCCTGCCATTCCACTCCGTACTACAGGTGAGATGGGAGGCTGGTTGGCCTGCCGGTTCACCCTCCAGTGCTTCAGGGAAGACTTTGCTCAGCTCGTTAGGGACTTGTCAGCAATGTTCAAATTGGTTTAGGAGCCAGTCTCTGGGGAGTGAGTCTGTTGCTGGGCTGAGCAAAGGCCTCTCATGATCGAGTGGTTGGAGCAGAAAGGAAGCATTGCTGTTGGTTTCTTGGCTGACTGGATTCTGCTTGTGGGCATTTCAGCATAAAGAGTTTCCCTCTTCCGTGTGGAGGGTGCCAAGCCCAGCCGTCTCCATGCCCTCCCTCATCTCTTCCCCCTTTCCAGAGTATGTCTGGATCTTCTTCTTTTTTTTGCCTCCCTCCCAAATGGCAGTTGGGGTGGGCCAGGCATGTTTCCCCCCACCTCGCCTTGGAGGCAGGCTGGAGGCGCTGTGTGGGCGGGGGGTGGTGGTGGTGGGGGTGGCCTCGGCCTGCCGGGTGCCTGAGCTTTGCCCCTTTTCTTCCCAGCCACATCCACTGCCAGCTGCGGTTGAGGTTCCTTCAGTGCCCGCCTGACCTGATGGGAGAGGCGGAGTACCAGGACGAAGCTGACCGGTTTTACGCAGGGCCCCTTCGCTGGCTGGCGCAAGAGTTCCCGAATGCGACGCTGCTCCCCTCGCACTTGGTCTTCTTCAGCGTCCTTGAGCAGGTCAGTCGGTCTTGTGCACAGCAGGGGGGCCCCTCTTGGTCTTCCTCTTTTGGGGGCCGGGGCACCAGCAGGAGGTGGGAATGAGTCCCGGCTGCCCCAGCAGTCTCGTTCGAGCCACTTCCTCTCCATCCCAGCTGGGAGGGATCCGTTTTAGAGAAGGCAAAGGGACTGCAGTTCAGCGGCACAGCTGTTCTGGGGATGCCCCAGCCTCCCTTGCCTCACCTCCTCCAGCAGGTGCCCGAGAGAGAGGGCAGCAGTGTGGCTTCCCAGCCCTGCCTCCTCTGGGGGCTGCCTCTGAGTGGGCACCTGCCAACGACGGGGCGAAGGAAGCCAGGGTGCAAGCCAAACCTCCGAACTGTGGTTTGCACCCAGTGTGCATGCAACAAACCAGCCTCCTCCCCTGGTCTTTGGGTTTCCCCGTAGAGGAATTAGCCTGTGGCCTCTCACTCCTCAAACTCTCCACGGGCGGCTGTGGCTGCTGGGACTTGAGGCGGGGGTGGGGTGGGGTGGGGGAATCTTCCTTAGGGTTCTCCTCCACTAGGTATGGGTGAGTGATCCCTCCACATAATGAGGGCAAACGCTTACGAGCAGAGTGAAAGCCTAGGACGGTCTTGTAGGGGCCATACAGCGTTTAGGGGAAATCAAGACCCTCGGAGGGCCCAGCACAACTTTGCTTCCCAACTTGCTGCTTTTTCCATGGTACACGGGGGTGTGGAGAGTGGCTCCCCCTAGAGGTCAAACACTCTTTGGTTCTCTTCCAAATTTTTATTGTTCATTCAGCATTTCCCAAACTCATAACCTGTATTGTTTGCTTCCCAGGATATAGCACCGTTTTTAGTCTCAAAAGGCTACGAAAGAGCTGCAACGTTCTTTCACACCCATTTGCCCCAAGGACGAATTGGAAGCCACATTTACGTCTACAGAAGGGATCAGAAACCTACGTAGCTGACAGCAGCTGGTTCTGCTGAACAACAGACGGTGGCGAAGGGTGCAAAAGGCACTCGCTCGGGACAACCAGTACGACTTGCTGGCTGGGGGCAGCCCCCCCACCTCCCGCTTTCCTCTGTGGATCCAAGTGGCACTCGGGTTGCAGCTCTCAGTGCTGTTGTGCTGCCAGAAATGGAAGGCGCATCTGGCCAGCGGGGCAATGGCTGGCCTGGCTGAGCTTCCAGTGCCGCTCAACACAAGTGATGCCTGGGTAAACTTTGTAAATAAAATACTCTTTTTTTTGGCAACTACTTTTTTATTTTTCCCCCCTATCAATCAGTTGCAAATGGGCAGGAACGCCAAAGATAAAAGGTAAATCACGAAGCTGATTCAAAAGCAGCACCCAGAACCACCCCCACCACGAGCTGGCAGGTGCTATCCCAGCACAAACACACACAGCGCATAAAAGGGGACAGCTAGAAAACACCGGGACTTCTCAAGAGCATGAGATGAAACGAATACAGCAAAGTATTGTTACTGTGCTGTGTCAGAATCAACAAGTGCAAACTTTCCTATTGTACAAACCTACGGATTCCTGTTCACCCCAGTTTTTTTGTTTTTTTAATTGTAGTAGCAGATCTGGTTTTGGCCCCCAGGGGGGCATGGAGGAAGAAGCTTGCCCTTGACTGGAGCGCCCAAAGCCTCAGCCAACTTCAGTTCTCAGCCGGTGGATTGTGCCCTCCTCATGGCGATGTCCGGCCGGGTTCCAGATGACGGTCTTTAGTACTTGGGGTCAAAGGGCATCTGGCCCACTTCAATCTCCAGGCTGGCCATGTGCCTCCCATTGGCGCGGCCTTCTCGGTGCCACCGGCCTTCCCTCTTGTAGCGCTGCTGGTGCTTAAGAACCGGCCTTTCCTGCTGGGGCCGCTGAGGGTGTGCGAAGGGGGCCTTCCTCACAGGGTGGCTGAAAAGGAAGGACAGAAAGGCCACAAGGCTGCCTGAGACTGGACTCCGCAGCGGCCAGGGCTGGCTACCAGGCGACCTTGTCCGTAAGGACCTCGACTAACCCTCAGTAAAGACAAGCAGATGCTTTTGATGCAGGAACAGAAAGTTGTTGCATTCGAAACTCTTTGATTGCAGGGTGTAAAGCAGAGAAGAAAGGCCAGGAGCCATCGTGCCCGAGGGAGCCTTTCTTGCCAGCCCATGGCTGTGAAAGAACGGCTGAGCGCCTCTCCACAGCCCAGCCCCCCCCCGTGGGTGGGTTGGGGTTCTCGTCCAGAAAGAGGCCGTACAGAGTTCCTGGTGCTGCCCTTGAAGAGCAACACCTTTCATCCGACAGCCTCCCCTTCCCAGGCTGCAGCCCCCTCCCCTCGCCTGACCCTCAGAGGCTGGGAGAGGCAAGTGGGCTGCCGTCAATGCAGGCCCCTGTCGAAGAAGCAAACGCTTCCCCAGGAGGCCTTCAGCTCCCACCGGGGCCCCTGCAGATCCCTGGATAGAGGAGGAGCCGGCGCCTTTTTGGGACTCACCTGGATCGGTGCTGGGGCGAGGGATCGTAGTGGAAGTAGTAGTGGTAGATGTACTTGTCGAGGTCTTCAAAGGCTCCGCTTCCGCTGCTGCTGCTGCTGCTCCTCTGGTACTCTTTGAGGTCCTCAAGGTAGTCCTTGATGTCGTTAACAAAGTCCGTGAACAGCATCTGGTCATGGATGAAAACGCCATTGCGGAAAAACCTGTTGACAAAAATCTCTAGCTCTCTCCAGTGATGGAAGTTGCTGACTTGCTGCTGCAAATATTTGTGCATTAACTGATTAAACTCATCGGCCCGAATGGGGTCCAGTACTTTGTTGAAGAGGCTAACGAACTCCTGGTGGGCACAGTCAAAAATGCCAGTGCACCCCTTGAGCACGGCGGGCTGTCTCTGGCTGCAGGTGGGGCCCTGCCGGCACTCTGGCGGCGGAGAATCCCGAGGCCGCCTTGCGTCTCTGAAGCCCCTCGGGCTGCCGTGGGGCCCTTCTTCGTGGCTGGCGCCTGCCGGAGAAGCCACCTTCCCTTTCTTCTTGGCCTCGTACCCTTTGTCGCCGCCATACCGTTTCTTCTCTCTGTCCTCAAAGATATTTCTTGTGGTGTCCTTGAAATGTCTAAAAGTGGATTTTACAGAATCTGAGAACTTCTTCAAGTTCTCTTTCACAGCTTCTTTGGCCCGCTTGATTTTCTCTTTATGGTGTTTTACAAACTCCTTTGTAGAATTCTTCATGGCATCCAATGTTTCTTTAACGGAGCCAAAGAAGGTTGCCTTGGTCTTCTTTTTGGCTCGACTGTTTCCTTTCCCGGCCGGCTTCTGGGCTTTGTCCACCCGCTCTTGTTTCTCAGCATGATCCTTGACTTCCACGTACAGCTTCTCCCACAAATCGGAGCGTTGCTGCTCAAAGCTAAGCTTTTTCTCCAGCTCAGTCAGCCTTTCCCGCAGAACCTCAATTTCGGGGCTCTCCTGAAAACCATCCCCTGCTCCAGGCATCGCTTGCTGAGAACTCAACTTTTCCAGCTCCTCCCGGAGAGTCACCGTGAGCTGACGCTCTTTGTCCAGTTCCCTTCGCAGCATCTGTGCCTCTGCTAACAGGGTCTCTTTCTGTTTCACAAAACTCTGTGCCCTGTGCTTTTCTTCTTCCAAATAAGCTTTCAGTTTTTGGTTTTCAGAGAGGACGGGGGACTCAGGGCCGGGCCCTTTGTTCTCCAGCTGTCTTATCTCTTCTCGCAGCTTCCTCAGCTCTTCCTGCAAAAGGGTCAGAGCCTTCTCCTCCTTCTCTAAGGATTCTCTCAGGTGCAGGTTTTCTGAAGCAAGCCGGTGCTTCTGAGATTCGAAAGACTTTTTCTCCATCTCTGTGGTAAGCAGGCAAGCTGCCAGGCCTTCTTTTAGGGACTGTTCATTAAAAAGGAAAGGAAGCAGTTAAGTTAAAGCAATGTTCTCACAACAGTGACAAAAAGTACTTTTTAAAAGATGTGTATGCTGGCGGGGATCCCATCGGTGTGGGGACCGAGTGGCATCACCATCTCTCACCCTCTGTGTTGTTGGCCCACAGGCCACAGCACTTAGGAAGCACTCTCTATACTCAGGGTTTCCCTCAACAACAAGAAGAGGCATCTAGGCACCAACTCCCTCCGCAGTGAGCCATCAGGCCACAAGAGGGCAGCTGTGGAGCAGGAATCCCCCACACATACACACACACGGCAGAAACCCCAGTGCTGATCTGAAGAGGCACCTGGGGCTATGCAGGATACCAGGCATTGCAGGTGCCTGTAAAAACCCAACAGTCATGTTGACCTGCCCCCCAACCACTCTGAAACCCAGCACAATATCCTGGGGGAGTAAAGACCGATGCCTTGACAGAAGCTCCGTTTCCCCCCAGCACAGTATGGAATCATGAAGGAAAGATCGTGGCTGCTTTCTCCCAAAATGTTTGGCGCATCAGGGATGTCTGTCCACCTCTCATGCTCTGAGGCCACGGGCGCCAGCAAGGCCTCCTGACAGAGACAGGCAAGTTGGGGTGGAGGAGGTCACCCTTACCGAGCACTCGGTCTGACGGCCTTGTTCTTGCTGGCACTGCATCAGGTCGCCCTTCATGTCGTTCAGTTTGTCTTCGTGAGTCTTCTTGACCAACTGCTGCCGCTTTTGGATCTGAACGGTACCTTGAAAGAGAAAAGTTTCTCTCTTATCTGACAAGAAAAATGGGAAGTTAGGCAGCTTGTCAGAGGCAACGGCTCTTCTCTAGTTGTGTGTAGTCTACATTAGCTTTACGACCACCCACCCAAAGTTAAGTGTTTGTAACAACCCAAACACACAGAATTTGTGCAAAATTTTTCTCATGCAAAAACATTTCTTGGAAGAGATCACGCACAGCAGTGAACATTTTGGTCAAGAAACAGCATGGGGAAGGAGGAGACCGGCAATCAGGCGGAGAGTGTTGGATTTTAAGGACGGTAACTCCCAGGATGCTGCCTGGTTGAATTCTGGGAAGTGCAGTCCACAGAGCAGCTGCCTTGACCTGCCTGTGGGTCTCTGTTGCCACCCCTGGCCTTTCAATTTTATTTATATTTATTTTATTTTTATTTATTTGATTTATACCCCGTCTATCTGGACTACCAGTCCACTCTAGGCGGCTTCCAATACAAAACTGAACACTAAAACACAGGCAAGTGCATGCTAATTCAGAAGGAAAATGCCTTTCTAGCAGGCAGCAAGACGACTGGCACCATGAACCCTGGCGACTCCCACCAGGCCTTGTCACTCCCACCACCACCACCACCACCTTCTTCCCGAAAGGCCAACAATGGCAACCAAGTCCTGCATGGAGGCTCCGAGAACTATTCCATAAAGATCTGTTGTTGGCCGTAGCTCCCAGAAGTCTGCCTGGAGAGGTCCTGGGTGAATTATTCTGGGAGCTGCAGTCCAAACACTCTGGAAGCCCCACTTCGACACCAATGACATGCACAACGGGGCAAATATGCTAAAGATGCTAAGAGATTTGAGAGAGGCTGAACCGCCAAACAGAACCAAGCAAGCGGTCTGGGCCAGTGCCTCGTCATCTGCAAAGCCCAGCACTCGTTTGGCTCTTCTTTCCCAATGGCACCCCTTGCTCAGTCTCCCAAGGGCCCGGCCCACAAACAGTCAGGAAAGCTCCTCCCCTGCTCTGCGTTCATGTGAACCTTCGCTCCAGGCGGCCCATGGGGTCATGAGGCTCTGGGCCGAGCGCAGAGGCCAGCAGGGCCCCAGGGGCTCTGGGTGGGTGTCCCAGGGTGGGGTGGGGAACCATGCTTGAGTGCTACTCTGCCCAAAATCAAAAGGCATGCGGAAGTGCCTGGCCTCCAGCAAAGAGGGCTCAGGCCCAAGTTCACAGCAACACATTCCAGTCAAGCCTCTTACCTTCAAGGAGTCCTAAGGACAAAGCAATAGAAAGGGGTCAGTCCCACTTGCAGAGCACTGTGCTAAATGCTTTGCAACTCCAAACCCTAATAAAGAAATGTCCCCGAGCATCTAATTCCTTTTGTTCACAACAGCAAAAATGTGTTATAAAATCAGCATTTCATCCACACCAATTTTTGGCATCTTCTAGAGGGGAGTTGTGAGAAGCCCATGTGAACAGCCCTCAGCAGGAGGACCAGCAAGAGCTGCACGCAGTCAGCGCGGCAGGGCCCTTCCAGCTGCTCCACCCATCAGCCGCTGTGCCTGTCAGGAAGGCTTGCCTATTGCCTAGCTGCCTGCAAGCAGATGTCAAGGCCACCAGAGAGGCCCCCTTCCTGTCCTGCTCCTTCCTGGTGCCCCAGCCCTTCCCGGGTCTCCCACCCGGGTCTAAAGGCAACTGGAGGGCCAGAGCCCCCCTCGCCCACTCCACCCCCAAGAGGAGAGAGAGCTGCCCTTCCGGCTGCCCTTTGCTTCCATCCCTCAGACCCATACACACAACAGCCAGCCACCAACTGAAAAGGGCACGTGCACGTGCTTCCCACACAGGACTTTGTTGAAAGACAGGCCTCTGCGGCAGGTCCACCCAGCGCATCCTGGCAGAGGGGCGGGAATGTTTTGGGCAGGAAAGCCCATTCGTGTGGGTTCACAGAGACCAGACAAATGAAACTTTGCATCTAAGCAAGGATCTCTGTGATTAGCTTTGTCTGAATTCTGGACGGAAAAGACCCCTCCCACCGCATGCAAACACCCCTCCGGGCACTCACCATAGAAGTGTCCGAAGCCCATGCTGACCGCAATCACCAAAGCGAGGATAATGCACCTATTGAGGCCGCTGCTGAAGAGGGGCTTGCGTTGCTGGTCCTCGCCGTGCCCCATTTCCTGCTCAAGGGGTGGCACGTCCTCCGATTCAGAATTGGAAAGAGCCCTCTTCTTTGCACGCCGGCGCCTCAGGGCTGGGCTGGAGCAAATGCCGTTTTCATCGCTGCTCGAGTCTTCAGCGCGAGGGTGAGGAGGAAAGACTGAAAAGCAGACATGGGTCCCTTGCCGTGAGCAGAGTGTGCGGCAGGTCCCCCCACCCCTTCCTAGGGAGCAGGCGACGCCCCACCCTTGCCTCGGGCCCCTTCTGTCTGCCCAGACCCACCCCAGCAGCCTTTTCTCACACACCACCACCCACCCAAACCCAGATCTAGTGGCTCAGGGCTTCCACCACAAACACTGGCATGTGAGCAATGCATGTGCGAAAGTGAACTAGAAGAGAAGACCAGCGCCTGCTCATGCCTACGTTCAAGACCAGCTCACGCCCGCAGCAGCCAGCGTTTGGTGGGCCACCTGCCCCTTAATGACGGCTGTTCCAAACAGCAGTTGACACCTGCCTGGCTGAGCGACCGCACTTGCATCTGGCGATAAAACGACACGAAAAAGGGAAATCTGAGCTGTCCTGTGTCTGAGCAAAGTTAGTCCCACCCTGGACTGAACATGGCCAAGGAAGACACAGGACAGACCTCTCCTGATGCCACTACGCAGGGTGTCTCCCGAGGAAGCTCGGAAGGGAAGTGAGGTGTGACGTCCAGTTTTCACGTGCATCTCGTGTCAGACCTCGGAAGCATGCATTGGAACATCTAGTGATAATGGTGGTGGTGTTCAAATTAGTGAGAGCAACCAAAAATACCCTCTGGAAAGCCACAAGACTCCTCTCCAGGCTGTCCCGCAGTGACACTCAGGTGCACATGAAGGCCGCTTTCTCTGTGGCAAGGATGAACCCCGGCCGCACAGCCACCTGACATCGCAAGTGCCAGGACCCCCTGCCACCTCTGGTGAAGGGACTTCCCCTAGAGGCCACAGGAGGGGGGACCAGGCCGCAGAGGGAACCCGGTCCTCTCGGGGTGGGGGTGCTCAGTTACGACTATCACATGCAGCGTTAGAACATGGCAAAAATCTCTCCAGCCAGCACTTCACTCAGCATTCCAGCACAAAACAACAGGCGGGCAGCTCTGACGCTGAAGGAGCAGGCAGGCAGGAAAGAGCAGGGCAGAATGTTCTGTGGCCACTCTACAGTGCCGGATTGTTTGCAAAGAATATAAGGACCATTACATTTCATTAAACATTTTGCTTTTCTTCTCAAATTAGTGTTACTTACTTAATTGGTTTTTATTTTTTAAATATTTATTTATTTATTTAAAATATTTTTACCCCGCCTTTCTTCTTGAAAAGAACCCAAGGCAGCTTACAACAATGAAAGACACTATTTAAAGTTGAAACGAATGAGTATATAACAGTGGTTAACATCATTAAAAAATTATACTTAAAAATTATGAAAAATGAATAAGGAGGCGTCTTATATCTATTAAGAGCCAACATTAAGGCAAAGACCAATAAGTATACAAAAAAATTAAAAGTGTCTGAGAGGAAAACACAACTTCAGTTGTTGCCTAAAAGCAATTCTCAGACCGAAAGGGAACTATTCTAGCAATTTCCAAAATGATCTTTAGCGTCTGTCAAGTATTTCCCCTTCACTTAGTTTCTTTCTGCCCTCCCCCCACCAACGCTTTGCTCCCAAAGAAGTCGAAGCACAAACTTGGACGCGCACCTCGCACAACGGCTTCCACCTCAGGAACCAAACCACACACGGCAAGCCCGGCCTGCTCCGCCGCTTACCCCATCCACTGACGCACCCTGGCCTCTTCCACAGCTTCTCCCACCAAGTGGCTTTTGTATATAAAAACAGAAGGAAGAGATGTGACCCTCCTAGGGAACTGAGCACCCGGGGGGGGGGGGCGGGACTGGAGCAAGAAAACGGGAACTCCTACAAACACCCAAGAATCAGAAGGCTGCTCTTGCACCAGAAATTACGTTATTCTAAAACATGTCCATTTCTACATTCATCATGGTGAGAAAAGGCAGGCTATGCGCAGTAGAGACCGTGGGCCATAAAACAGATTCGGACTCCATTCGCCTAGCAACCCTAAAAAGCTTGAAAGTGAACAATCTCTACTGCTGTGCTCAAAACAAGTTCAGGAACCCATCCTCCGGCAAACAGTGGACACCTGCATTATCCCAACGTTTTCCCACTAACAAGAAAAGTGGGACTGACTACAGTTAGGTCCTGATTCCTACATAATTTTTTAAAACAGAGGACAAGGATGGGGTGTTCAAATGGGAGCCTGAGAACGACTCGGGCAGCGTGGACAGGCGGCTTTCCCAGGGAGCTGAAGCAGTTGAAATGGTTTCTTGGGCAGAAGGGCACCGACCACGAGGCCAAGGGTCCTCCTCCAGGTTGGAAGACCCTCCAGCTTGGCTTCTGCAGAGGAGAGCGCGAACCCTGGCCGTCCCTGGCCTTAGAAGGAAGAAGTCAGAGACCACGTACCTGTCTCTGGCTGGCAAAAGGTGTACTGGCTGCTGGAAGACGATCCCATGTTGAAGTCTTCAGAGAGATGGGCTTCCTCCCCCACCGGCACCAGTCCTTCTTCGTGGCTCCCGACTTCTTCCACTTTTGGCGCTTCAAGAGTCACGATGTCGGAATCATCGCTGGCAGCCCCCACGCCAGAACCTTCCCCGGGCAGTTTTCCTTTTTCCTCCTTGGATGTAATGTCAAGGGACAGATGTTACACTGGAAACATTGCCTTACTATAAGAGTCATGAAACTTCAAAGAGGAACACAGATTGCCTGGCCTAAGGACCCTTGCTATGTTCAAGGGGAGCCAACCGACGGAACCAATGGGATTGACAGGGAAGAGGATTCATCAAATCTACTCTCGCTGGGACTGGCTACTGGATTCATTAAGGTGAATTTTCTCATTGGTGCAAAATCTTGGTTTTTAAGAGGGGCTGCAATCTTTTTACAAAGAGATAAATAACAAATGTCATCTCCTTTATTTCTTTGAAAGTTCAAGTCACTAAAAAAAATGCTTAAAAAAACCCAAGATCAGCAAACGTTACAATCCTAGTTCTGTCCTATTTCAACTTCCATCTTAAACGTTAAAGGATAAATACACAACTCTAGAACTCATGCAGTGATCTTTTAAGGTTTGCTTTTCCATACAAACAACGAACAGGAACTCTTTAGTTCCTAAAACAGAACTGTGCTCCTTAGAGCTAGGTTGAATCTGCTCCATGAGTAGAAATTCACAGCCTGGGCAAGAGGAGTGGGGCAGACGCCTGTTTCCCCCCTCTTAACTGTTATCTGCAATTTAGCACCTGGTTCATGCATCATGTATCTTAATCATGCTGTAGGACACTGGTTCTTAACCTTGAGTTACTCAGGAGTTTAGGACTGCAACTCCCAGAAGCCTTCACCACCAGCTGTGCTGACTGGGGTTTCTGGGAGTTGCAGTTCAAAAGCATCCGAGTAACAAAGGTTAAGAACCACTGCTGTAGGAGACAACAGAACCTATAACTTGGCACAATCTGCTCCCAACTGCTGTTTTGGGGCACCACCGAAAGGGATAAGCCCAGCCCTCCCCACCTCCTATGGCAGTGACCAGCCGGGGTGTCCAGTTGTTACACCACTTAGCTGGGCTGAAGTACTGTTGTGACAGGACAGATTGGCCTGCTTTTCACTTTTACCATAAAGTTTGTGAAGCCAATAAGGGCTTGAAGTTAGCCTTGAAGCTTCCTTGGATCCTGCCTTACCTCAGGAACTGTCTGGAGGGTCTCTGGGGCACAGCAGCCTTCCTCTGCTACTGGTGACACATCCACTTGGTCAGATTCAGCTGTGGAAGTTAGACAGACAGGCAGTATCAACCTTAAACACAATGCCATGGCCATTGGCTACTCTGCAGGCATGGGTGGGTGCAGAATGTGTAATTCAACACACTTTTAAAATGACAGCTTAGCAGAGATTTTTGCCAGTAGCCAACCCTAGCCTGCAGAGAGGAAACAACCAACGAGTGATGGTGTGAGGGCCGGAGGGTGGCTGTATCAACAGAAGGGGCCAGAAGGGACGGTAATCGGGCCCCTTCTGCTCACGGCTGTCTGAAGGGGTTCCTCAGCCTGCAGGCGGGGAGGCCTCGCTGGGGGCCTGGCCTTACCTTCCAAGTCCACCAGCTGGTCCTGCAGGACATTCTCGGGTGGCGGGGAGGGCATGTCTTCCGTGTCGAGCTCCATGGGGCCGCCTGCACCTTCATATTCGGATGCCAAGGCCTCGATATCTGAGCCCTAAGGAGTGAAACCGGAGGCATCTGCTGGGACGGGCCGCTGGCCAGAGCGCAACCAGGTCTAGGCCAGGAATCCCACTCACAATCCGCCACAAGGAAGCAGCTCAGCCTGCCCCTCCGCAGAGGAGCTGGATCATTAAGGCAGCCCTGAATTCCCGAGTGGGGAGAGTCAGGCCCTCCAGGTGTGCTGGGCAGGCGCCTCGCTGCTCCCTCCTTGGCGATGCACGAGACACCAGCCAGAGCCATTAATAAGGGACGAGGCCTCTGGCCAAAGAGGGGGCTCAGGGGTGGGGGTGTGGGATGATGGCAGAGCAGTACCTCGTGGTTGATGACCGTCCAGCCGCAAGAGGAAGAATCGCTGTCACTCGAATTCTCTGCCATTTTCCGCAGCTAGAAAGAGGAGGAGAGGAGGAGGAAGGGGGGGTCAGTTCCACCCGCCCAGGACAGACAAGAGGCAGCCCCTCCCTACCGTGGTTGAGGAGCGGGGGGGCCCGGGAAGGCCTTCGGGGGCCCTCTTTCCGCCTTGGGGGCTGGCCAGCGAAGCCGCTCCTCCCCCGAGGCGCCCGCCCCGGTGTGTGTGTGTGTGGGGGTGCGCCCTCTCCGGCCACCGAGGCCCCGCCCGGCCCGCTTCTCCCCCGCCAGCCGCCGCGGGCGCTCCCTCAGGAGGACCGGGGCGCCACTCCCGCGCTCTCCCTCAGGCCAGGCCAGACCGGGACCTGGAGGCCTCAGGGCAGGGCCCGAAAGGGAGGAAGGAAGAGCAGAGAACCCCAAGCCGCCTCCCTCCCTTCCTCCCAGGCCCGACCGTTGGGCGGCAGCAGGCGGCCGGGCCTTCCGGGGGCGGTGGGTCGGGGCCTACATGCCTGAGCGGGGCTCCCGGACGGACGGGCGGGCGGCTTCCCGGCTCCCCTCCCTCGGGCCCTCCGTCCGACGGTCCTTTTTGCTTCCTCACCAAAACAATAAACAAGCAGCCGGAAAGGGGACGCCGCCGCGCCTGCGCATTCCCGCGGAGCCTCGGCGCACGCTGGGAAGCGTAGTCCGGCTCGGCCCGGCGGTGGGGCTGGCGAGGCGCGCGGGGACT